TTTCCTCACCCATTGTTAGGTTCATGGCTGGCACTCCTGTAACAGAAGGCAGATTAACAAGAGAAAAGCATATGAATTTATTTAACTAAAGTTTTACTTGACACGGGAGCCTTCAGAAATGAAGACGCAAAGACCCAGGGAAAACTGTAATTTTATGCTTAGGTTTGATAAAGAATGGACAGTCCTGTAGAAGTATGATTGCACAAAAAGGAGCTATGACCTAATGGTAATAAACTGGGGGGAACTTAGCAAGGCCTGCTTATTCAGATTTTTCTTGGTTCTCCAGCAAGAGGGTCTTCCAGCAAGATACCTGTCACATGGGGGTCTTCAATAGAGAAGGGAGGAAGTCAGAGAGTAATCTTCAGCTTGCTTTCTAGTCATAGAAACAAATCCCTTCTTTTTTGCTTGAAGGGAGAAAAGGGGGCGAGGGACAGTCAGAGAGACCTGCCTGCTTTTGTGTCCTTCCCAATCTTTTTCAGCTCAAAATACTCAGCATGCCAAGGTGCCAAACTTTGGTGCTTTACATTTTGTAGGCAAAATTAAGTCTACAGTTTTCTTACTATTTATTCATTCTGCAATTAGTGCATAGTTGTACTTACAACATAAATTTTGTTAAATTTAGTATAGAATAAATGTTTTTTTAATAACATTGAGTTTTATTTTCAAATAAAGTCCCAAGCAAACCTTTTGCACTAATTGCTCTGAAATTTGGTCCCTGTTTTAAGTAGATTTACTTTGAGATGCCTTTACCAGAACTAATTACACTGGGATATAAGGACTTCCTGTACTAATGAAGCAGAACTTTTCTGGTGGTAAGAGTCTGATTCTTTTATTGTTTGTATTTACATATTAAATTTTTACTATTTTATTCTTAAAATATCCTCATTTCTAAGGAAATTTTCTTAGAAATATACCTAAGGATAACTAAGGATATAAGGATAAGTTTTTAGGGGGTAATTTATTATTTACTCTTGGGTGTTTCCTATAGGATTACTCTCAAAGGGTGATACTGATATTATTATATCAGTGTTTTCCAAGGCAATGCTGGTAGATGAAACAGATTTTGGAGTCAACTTGAAGGAAGACCTATATTTGAATCTGTTTCTGCCACTTAATGAACATATGTTAATGGGTAAATTACATTCCCTTTCTGAACTTTAGTATCTTCGCCTGTAAAGATGGAGCAATAATAGCTCCCTCAAAAGACTGTGGTGAAGATCAGATGTGAATATGTATAAAATGACAGGTAAAGAAAAGGCATTCGCTATGTGGTAGTTATAACAGTGCTGTTTATATTTGGTTTTCTTGACTGCCAGAATTATCTTGTGATATTAATTTGTTGATTATTTTGCACCCTTGGATACTTTGAGTGTGCTTTGCAATGTGAACCTAGGGTCTCTAGGCTATAAAAAGCAGCTAAATACGACTAATATTGACAATGTGACTTTCAGAACGCCTTGTTGCATAAATCTCTTAGAATGAATTCTAAAATGTTATATAAAACTTTTTAAAAAGTTCATAATGAGATCTGCACCATTTACTTTGTAAAATTTTGGTTGAGTTCTTTTGTAAACTGGATGGCTGATAGTTATATGGGGAAAGCCCCCTAGCCCCACGAAGCAATTTGTATAAACACATCCTGACTTAAAACCAAGACAGTCTTTCACTATGCAGAGGCCGGTGCAGAGCACAGTTTTGGGAGACAGATGCTTCTGAATTCGAACTCCTGCTTGGCCACTTCCTGGTTGTGTGACTTTGACCAATTTACTTAAAATTTCCAAGCCTGGGTATCTTCTTCCATAAAGTTGGGGATAATGAAAGTACCTATGTTGGCTTATTCCAAGGATTAAATGAGACATTGCATATAAAAGTTTTATATCCATTCAGTAGCTTGTAAGTGCTTAATAAATGGCAACTACTATTTGTAAAATCTTTGAATTCACACGTTAACAGGTACATTATATTTTGTTCAAAAATGGTAATAGTGTAACAAAAAATTAAAAAAAAATTAAGTTCACTTGAGTCTCAAACACCAAATCATATGCTTTGTTCTTGCCTCACCTTTCGAGTTTCCTATATTTAAGTTCCTTTCCTTCCCCAGTTATTCATGAACATGTCTCCTCTCTAGTGCTTCTTAATGGCCTCCTGCCCCAAGCCAGCCCCAAGTCGGAATAGCAGGGGGATGGGGGGAGGGTGGTAGGTAGAGAAGGGGAGAGTCTATAACAAATTAGCAAGGGGGTTCTACCTCCCCCCCATTTCCAAGATTTTGGTATGTTCGCTCATGGTCCTATTAGTTTAGACATTATTTAGTTCATTCAGCGAAGTCAGGAGACTTAGCATTTAGTATTCACCTAATGATGCCAGATACTATGCTAGGTTATTTTGACTCTTCATAACAACTAGACAAGACAGTTATCACTATTGTTTCTGAGATGGGTAGGCAGAGAGTCTGATCCAGTAATTTCCTCTAAGTCATGCAGCAAGCAAGTAGCAGCCGCCTTGCACATCCCATGCATCTACGTTACAGTAAATGCACCGATTACACTCATACAATGAATGCTGTAAATCTGACCAACAATTCCAGACACTGACAAGTAAATAAACCAGACTTTCCCCAATCCCGGTAAATCCTGTTTAATTTCTCCTGGCAAATACTGAATTTCAAGTTGTGCTCGTTCTGTAGGATAAAATCTTCCAAATATTGTGATATCACATGGTCAAAGAGAGAAAAAGGTGAGGAGGGCGATTAAGGTGGATGTGTTTCTTCCATTACGGGTAGAACGAAGTTTCTCATCTCTGAGTAAGTACAGAATTCTGCAATCATTCCAAAACTAGAAGTTCAGCTCAGAGTGCCTTTTGGGGAAGCTCGAACCACACCAACCATTTAAGGTCAAGCGAACAATTGGTCAACCCTAACAACGTGCGCTGTGCGGAGTATTCATCTAAGAGATAACAGGACGGGTCTCTATGTCTCTCTCTCTATCCCAGTTTCAGAAAACAGTCGGGTTCCTCCTGTCCCCAGCGCAGCTCGCACAGACGCCCTCGCCGGAAGCCACATGGTGAGCCTCGTGTCAGGGCCCCCTGGCTAGCTGCCGGCTCTGCCTGCGCCCAGCGTCTACCCGGGCCCTCTATTCTCTATAACGCGCGCTCAAGCAACCGGTCCCCTGCCAATCGACTCCGGCTGGGCGCCTGCGTCCCTGCGCTGGCTCGGCTCGGGGTCGGCCCGGGGGTGGGGGGTGGG